GTTTAGGTTTCCTTTGGACAAAGAGGAGAAACTGGGAAAATATTCTAAATAAAGTTCATTAAAGGGGAGAAAAGTTTGGATGCGGAATTTTTTCCAGGGGGGCTGAAAATGGGTTTTTGAGATGCTAGTTTTAATCAGCGAGAAAAACTATATGTATGGCTTTATTATAATCTTTTTGCAAAATACTCTTCATCTACTGAGTTGTGTTTACTGGTAGAAAAGTGGCAAGATTAAAATACATTGCCAATATTTCAGATATACGCCACACTCTAGTTTGGTCTCCTAAAGTACTTCTCCTAGTGGAATTTTATGCAGCTCACAGCCCATCTAACCGATGAATGAGACCCTAAACGTTGTATAAAGTAGTACTTACAAGAAAGCGAGAAGATCGAAACTGTTGAAATTATTTCTTTCTTTAGCTAATTCTTAAATAATAGTTTCTCCATACGATTTGTATACGTTATTATATCCTACCTTTATATCTGTCTTCACAACTTAGATAGGTGCGTACTTGAGAATGTTGATTCATAGGTGTAATCTGGCTCTTGTTATCTCGAGTTTTTCTATCAAGAAAGTCAATGTTTGTCATATTTGCGTTTGTTAACATTAGCAAACTACATCGCATTTAATCACAATGTTTCTCAATCAAAAACTGTTTTTTCCAAAAATGCGTGAAATGCTGTGTCGATGTTGGACAAAAAAGTTTCGACGTGAAAAATTGTCCTTCAGCCTTTGGTCACTTATACTCACAGTTGATAAGCGATAAAAATCAATACTATGAAGTTCATTAGGACATTATTAGAGAATTTGGTCCTGACCGAATGTGGATCAAAATGTGTGCTTTTATGAATTTATTTAGAAATAGTATAGCAAAAACATGAAATAGAACATGAGTGTAAATGACGACACGATAAAACACACATGTTCTTTAACAGTCGATACAATCGAACTATTGATACTCTAAACCGGAAAAATAATGAATCAGTATTATTATATATATAGATGACGGAGATCATCGTACGGAAAAGAAAGAATGAATTTAGATCAATTGAGATCGTCAATATATAGAATGAAGTGGACAAAAGTCCGATTAGTCCTATGAAACCAGCATTCTCAAGTGCATCTGAAGCAAAAGCTTGATGATACCGCTGAATTATGTGAGGAGGTTTCTCGCTAGTGCATTCCTCGCAGGATCCGGTTATGTCTATGTATTTATGTGTTGAATCCTTGAATCCTTCACATATAACATCCTAGAAATGTCGGGACATAGACTGGAAGGAAGTAGTGAAAGATTCTTTTCTCTGCAACTTAAGATCACAGGCGAAAGCTTCACCTTCCTTGATCGCACGATGACCATAACGCTGCATTCATTTCGATACGTAAAAGAGTCGTGACAAAAATATGGGAGAGATGAAGCACTCGACAGTAAGCAAACAAGTTCACACACTCATAGCTCAAACTTTATAGGATATACTGCTCTCCAGAACTCTTTGTTCGCAGAATCCTTGAGTCCTAAAATACTCAAATCGCTTCGATCCTCGATTCTGCAAGGAAATAGTGGAAGATTCTTTTCTCTTCCGCCGCATAAGATCACAGGTGGAAATTCTCATGTTGTGTATAGCTGGGCGTCGTGTCTCGAAACATTTCAGGCTTAAAGCCACACTCATTGGTGAGATATCATGAAAGAATTAGCGCTCCTATAAATAACAGCTATTAGTTCTTCTCTCGACGCACAAATATCTGTACGAAACTTTGTTAGTCTATCTATTCTGAACCAATTCTCAATTGGTTCCCAACCGATATCTGATAAAACATCCTTCATATTACTTCCACGAATAGCACCAGTTACTGCAAGTGCAGCGTCGTACTGAGCGCTTTGAAATCTCTTAATATTTATGTCTGATGTGTTTCCATAGATGATGTCAGCAAAGACCTACATTTGTACTACTACCGCGCACGTCTTCTCGCATGGACTCTATTCATATAAAATATTGTATTCGATCCTTCATGTGATGCTCTTATCTTGTAGTTTTTCGAGTGAACGAACGCAAATATGAGAAATATTAAGTTTCTTGGTAGAAAACAACCGAGATAACAAAAGCCCAATTAGTTCTATGAATCAACATTCTCAAGTATTCTTCTTCTTTATTCTCGCCTCGATTGTCTTTCATAGCGCTGCTAAAACACGTGTATAAGTTAAAAGGAGAAAGAGAATACAACCAAAACTTGTGACTTATATGAGCGCTGTATCTTTTATGATATCTCGGCAATGACCCTACTCGCAAGATTTTATATTTTTACATGAATTAAGCATGGTCATTTATCAAACAATATTTCATATGTGATGTTATGTGGCAGAAGAGACGAGAACGTTTCACTATTTCGTTGCAGTGTATGAGTCAATATTAAATGTCCGCTTTCTAGCTGTTCGTAGGTTCGACCAAAATTAAAATGACCTGTGAGGCAATCTGTGCGACCTACATAAGAACAGAGTACATACAGTTCTGGTCCAGAGTATGTTTGAAAATGTATAAAAGATTATAATGGATAGTAGCGATATTTCTAGAGAGTGTGAAATTCACACGTAATGCAAACCGAATAAGTTTCGTACACTACATAACAACTGTTCAACTAAAACATGTATATCTTAGCCAGCGATTTTTGCATATGTCGTCAACGTTTTTGTGTTCGGAAGCAGTTACGCAAATAGAAGAAAACGACTCATACTGACCACGGTTGGAAAGCTTACAATGTGTTTCCACACTGCAACAGACAAATAACTCTCATTCAGATGTTATATTAATTTGCTGTTAGCGTTCATGGCCGATTCTGTTCGCTAAGAGGGAATACACCAAAATAAACTGTGTTACGAGCGTCTTCTTGTACAGTGTAGGCCTAAGCTGACTTAACTAGAATTAACCCATTTACTGTTTTCACCCTTCCGCTCATGTTTCCCTCTGTTAATGACCTTGTATTGTTTTTCGTGAGTTGATATCTAGCAAAAATTCATTTAAAGCTATGTCCGCTAGAAATGGCAATGCTGAACACACCATCGGCAGACCTTTAACCTGTTTATAAACATTATTAGCAAATTGAAAACTAACATTTTTTGTGCAAAATTCAACGTTCCTACACCTGGGAGAATCATGGTGAAGATACAAATCAGATAATGATATTTCAATAATGAATTCCAGATTTCTGTTTCACGGATAATGCATGTAACAAGATGCACATCTCGTGAAGATAAAAGGTCAGGCAACTGCGCATGTCGTCAGAATCAGTCAGAAGAATATTTTAGCGAACGCAAATATGATAAATATAAGGTTCTTCGTAGAAAAATGTCGAGATAACAAAAGAAAGATGAGACCATTGAATCAACACTCTCAAGGTCTTTTCTTGTTTGTTCTCTCTCCATTACTTTCTCATAGGAGTGCCAAACGTACCTGTATAATGTAATACGTCAAACATACTAACTAAAAACTATATTGCAAATATCCATAATGCTTCTCGAGTCACAACTGTTTTCTACATACTACCTGATCATGAAATGTCTCCGTCTAACACATGAATATCAGAAACCCCAGCCAAATGTCATAATAATTCACTTGTATCTTCACCATGATTCTTACATGTGTCGGATTCAAGGATTTTAGGACAATTCAGTTCACAAATCTACACTCGCACTATACACTAATTTCTCTATTCTGAATTCTAGAAGTTACCCTCCTCTAGGTACGCACCAGTGAGGGACCAGTTATTTCCGACTGTTTTGACGTATTATCAAACATTGTTACAATGCGGTTATTAATAGTCGCTCAGTGCTGCTTAACGTCTCATTTTGTAGATATTCTGTAAAATAAATAGAAATAGGAAATGCCGTGATTCTGGAACATTATCAAACCTCGAAATTTATACAGTTTCCGCGAGAAATGTTGAAAATAAATCCATTTTTGGTACATTTACTCAGTGTAAAGGATCGGTTATGTAGTATTTTAAAAAATAAAAAACATCTTATCTTGTAAAATCATTTCCAGGAATCCTGTAGATCCGATAAGAGATATGTGTCATGGGCAAGTTTATGAACGAACATTTAAGGATCAGTATCTTGCGTATCCAGATCACAAGTTTATTGCATTAACATTAGACTGTGAGTAGAGCCCATCGGGTCCGGGCGCGGGTCCGAAGATTTTGAATTCACCGGGTCCGGGTCTATACATTTTTATTAGCTAGAAAAAAATCCACTATAAAAATAATTCCATTATTTTTATTTTCGTTTATTTCTGTTCTTATTATTCAAAAAATCGTTCATTTAATTTATTAAAAATAGTAGAAAATAACAAAACTCTTCGTGACTATATTATCGAAATTAAATTACTATTATGAACCTAAAATCCAAACAAAGTATTATCTGGTTCTTTACTACTGTCTATTGTTACAATATTATCTGAAGATGAATCAAAATCATCATTTGTTTTTGTTTTTTTTGCTGTTGATGAAGGAATTAAATTAGTTGTATCTTCATCAAGTATAACTAGTTGATCATTAGACATTGAAAATCTTCTTTTTGATTGTTCGGGATTTTTCCGAAATTTATCTTTCTCTATTTGTTTTAATATAAAAAGATTTTTTTGAAGAAATAACAGTTTGTTCAATTTGTTTGCTGCCAAACTAGTTCGTTGATCAGTTACGGTATTTTCTGATGATGAAAATAATCTTTCCACTATTGTGTTCGAAGCGGGTATTGCATAAAGATCACGTACGATTAATGATAATATGGGAAATGATTTTGCATTTTCTTTCCAAAATAAAAGTACATCATCATTTTCATTGATTTGTTGATCTAATGCCATGTAACTATCTAATTCATCAAACGGTGTTGAAGTTGAGCTAGATGGTGGTTTTGGTTGATCGAAGCAACGAGCCAACAAGTTATTTGAATTAGAAGGTGTTGTTGTATCAAATGTAATTGAATCAGTGGTTGTTGCTAATTCTGAAGTAGTATTATCATAAATTGGTGATGCTAATGTACGTTTTAAGATTTCTTGTTTGACTAAATCAAGTGCTTTATATTTACCATTTGGTGCTTTGTGGAAATGTTTTAATGAAGGATGGAGTAACGTTGAGATAAAGTGCTGATTTTGAAGAATCCATGCAGACTTTATACGTTCACCTAAAATAAGATAGATCCAATAAACATGAAATCCACAATTTGATTTTAGTCCGCAGAATATATACACTGAACGCTTTCGTAATACATAATATTATAATATATTATTTTCCAATGTAATTAAACTAAATTTCAGATAAATCACCTCGAAGTTACTTGTCTAGTCAATATTTCTTGAGATTTACTTACTGAGAAAAATTTTCAATTCATGTAAACTTGAACTATCTTGAGAATTAATTTCACAATGATTTAATAATAATTGACGAATAGGAAGTACTTTATGTATTGTTGGTTGTTCTTCTTCACTCAATTGATCTATAGCTTGATCAAAAACAACAAGAAAACCACATAATTCTTCTAAAAGATTTTTATCAATACGACTCAAATAATCCATGTAATTGTTATTTATAACACCACCCACATCAACATAAACTTTATCAAATACGTTCAACATATAGAATGCTCTATTAAAACGAGTAGAATATAATTGTAATTTTCTTTTTAACTTGATTTGTCGATGTGTTCGACGAACATGTGTACAAATTTTTCCAAATCCATATAATGACAATTGTTCATCAACAAACATATGAATGTTAGAAGCTGATTGTGATTCAACGTCGTATAAAACACAACCAAGAATAAAATTATATAATTTGAAATCAACTGATACATGTCGTAATGCCAAACCGCAATACGAAAGACCTAAAACATTAAAAAAAGATATAAC